GCCGGAAGACATTGCCCTGGAAGCTCCCGCCAGTGGGCTGGCGCTCCATCCGACCCGAGACCTGCTGGCGGCAGGGGACGTGGACGGGGACGTGTTCCTGTGAGTGAGGTGCGGGGCAGGGCTGCCAGGTCTGGAAGCTCCTCAGAGAGTTTGCTGGGACCGGGCGAGAGAATCGAATTTTGCAAGTTTCATCTGGTGCGATTCATTCAGTAACATTCACATTTAAACAAGTTATATAAAAAAGTTGCATAAAGAATCGGAAGATAAAGAAGCCAGAGTGTCGTGACTGTGCCCAGACACGTAGCAGGGCAAAAAGCATTTGCAGCCCTGTTATGTACCAGCAATTATATTGAACCTCAGAGTCTAAGCGGCCCCTTTGATCTTTACTCCCTTGGTTAAAATCTGTCAGTGAGCGGAGCACTGGGGGCTCACACCTGTAATCCTAGCTACTCAGGAGGCTGAGATCCGAGGATCGCCGTTCAAAGCCAGCCCGGGCAGGAAAGTCCGTGAGACTCTTATCTCCAATAAACCACTAGAAAACCGGAAATGCCGTTGTGGCTATAGTGGTAGAGTGTTAGTCTTGAGCTGAAGAGTTCAGAAACAGCAGCTAGGTCCTAGAGTTAAAGTCCCAGGAGGGACAACCAACCAATCAGTCTGTCAATGATGTCAATGAATAGTCTGCTTTGGGCTGGTCGCTGTCCCTTTGCTTTTTCGCCCAAGGCTGGCGCTCCACCACTTGAACCATAGCTCTATTTTCAGATTTTTGGTGGTTTAATTGGAAATAGGAGTCTCACAGACTTTGCTGCCTTTGCTTGCTTTGACCTTGGGTCTCAGATTTCAGCCTCCTGAGTAGCTAGGATTTCAAACACTAAGCTTCAGGATTTTATTTTATTTATTTTTTTGAACTCTGGGCCTGGGCGCTGTCCCTCAGCTCTTCAGCTCAAGGCGAGCGCTCTACCACTTGAGCTACAGCGCCACTTCCGGTTTTCTGGTGGTTTATTGGAGATAGGAGTCTCACGGTCTCTCCAGCCCGGGCTGGCTTTGAACCGCGATCCTCAGATCTCAGCCACCTGAGTAGCCCGGCTAGCTTCAGGATTTTAAATAAACTCTGTAATCTGATTTTCAAGGCCCTTTCTACCTGGCCTTTCTTTGCATGCTCTTCTGTATGCTTTCTGTGCCCATGATCCTCACTATATCCATCCTCCCTCCCTCCTTCCCTTCCTCCCTTCCTTCCCTCCCGTCAGTTGTGGGGCTTGAATTCAGGGCTGGCCGCTGTCCTTGAGTCTCTTGGGAACTTTTTTGCCCAAGCTGGCTTGGAACCTCAATCCTCAGATCTCAGCCTACTGAGTGGCTAGGATTACTGGTGTGAGCCATCACTTTTCCTATGTATTTTGAAGCCAAAGCTCCTTTGCACATTGTTGTTTCTTATGCTTGAACAATTCCTTTCCCTCATTTTTACCTTCCATCTACGAATTTTCAGCATCTCTTCTTCCGTTACTTAAATTAGGTAACTATTAGATGCCACTATGATACCAAGTGCCATGGTACTTTTCCCATATAAACCTTATAAGTAGGAGCTGTGAAGGTGGCTCAGTGGTAGAGCGGTTGCCTTGCATGCCTGAGGCCCTGGGTTCGATTCCTCAGCACCACATAAGCAAAAAGAAAAAAGCCGGAAGTGGCGCTGTGGCTCAAGTGGTAGAGGGCTAGCCTTGAGCTGAAGAGCTAAGGGACAGCATCCGGGCCCAGAGTTCAGGCCCTACGACCGGACCCCCCCAAAAAACAAACAAACAAAACAACTATAAATCTGCTTATTTGAATGCTTGTCTCCACTAAAGAAGTGTGTGTGTTATGTTTGGTACACTCTAATTTCTTGCTGCTGCTTCTCCTCTTCCTTCTCTTTCCTCCTCCTTCTCTTCCTTTTTTTGTGGTACTGAGGTTTGAACTCAGCCTGGCACTTGTTAGACAGTTGAGCCATGTCCCCATCCCTTGTTCTGTCATTATTTACAAACAGAATGCTCATTGTAGCTCCCTAGTAGGTTATGACAGGAATTGCAAAAAACAGTATTCTGTGGCTGAATCTGTAATCTATATTGTTTTTCATTTTATCTGCCTCCAGTCTAGGGTAAGTGTTCAATGTTTGTGTTTTTTTTTGGGACCGGTCGTAGGGCCTGAACTCTGGGCCTGGGTGCGGTCCCTCAGCTCTTCAGCTCAAGGCTAGCACACTACCGCTTTTGAGCCACAGTGCCGCTTCCGGCTTTTTATTTTTCTGCTTATGTGGTGCTGAGGAATCGAACCCAGGGCCTCATGCATGCAAGGCAAGCGCTCTACCACTGAGCCATTTTCCCAGCCCTACCAAACAATTTTTTACAAAAGATTTCCTAGCAGGGAGCTGGTGGCTCATGCGTGTAATCCCAGCTACTTAGGAGGCTGAGATCTCAGGATCATGGTTCATTTGAGGATACGGTTCAAAGTCAGCCTGCGCAGGAAAGTCCGTGAAATTCTTATTTCCAAATAAACCACTCAGAAAACCGCAAGTGGTGCTGTGGCTCAAGTTATAGAGCACTAGCCTTGAGCTGAAGAGCTCAGGGACAGTGCTCAGGCCCAGAGTCCAAGCCCCACAACCAACCAAAAGAAAAAAAAAGATTTCATGATTCATCTGACGTCATCAACTCAGTTTCTAGGTTGTTTTTTTTTTAATTGTGTTTCTGTATGTGTGTGGGTGGGGGAGAGGGATAGAGAGAGAAAGAGAATGAGTGAGAGTGAGATCCAGCCTTATGCCTATTAAGCATAATAAGTACATTCTCAGCCTCCAAGGCTTTTTCCTTCCCAAGTATTCTGTCAGTCTGGGACTTTTTTTTTTTCTCCAGTCCTGGGGCTTGAACTCAGGGCCTGGGCACTGTCTCTGAACTTCTTTTTTGCTCAAGACTAGCACCCTACCACTTGAGCCACAGCACTACTTTGGGCTTTTTCTGTTTAGGAACAGAACCCAGGGCTTCATGAATGCTAGGCAAGAACTCTACCATCTAAACCACATTCCCAGCCAGTCTGTGACTTCTTATTTGTTATTAGTGGAGCTTGAACTTGGGGTCTGGGTGCTGTGTCCCTGAGCAATTTTGCTCCAGGTTAACACTCTACCATTTTGAGCCACAGCACCAGCAGTTTTCTGGTGATCATGGATTTGTCCTCTTTTCTTTAGCTTTTCCTACTCTTGTCAAGAAGGAGAAACCAAGGAGGTCTGGTCCTCTGGTCACCACCTCAAGTCTTGCCGAGCTGTGGTTTTCTCTGAAGATGGACAGAGTAAGCATTTGAGAAGGCCTTGAAATGTGGGTGGGAAGGAAGCCATGGACAGTCCCATGACTTGGGTACCTGTTCTCCTAGAACTTGTTACTGTTTCCAAGGACAAAGCCATCCATTTTCTAAATGTGGAGGAGGGCCGACTAGAAAGACGAATTTCCAAGGCTCATGGGTAAGGAGATTCAATTGTGTATATGTGCATGAGGGTGAGGAGTCAGGACCTGGAGACTCCTATTAGAGAGCAAAGGTGCTTCAATAAGTTCTTCATCTGTGTCTCCAGCGCCCCTATCAATAGTCTGCTACTCGTGGATGAGAATGTTCTGGCCACAGGGGATGACACAGGTGGTATCCGCCTCTGGGACCAGCGGAAGGAGGGACACTTAATGGACATGCGACAGCATGAAGAGTACATTGCTGATATGGTTCTGGACCCAGCCAAAAAGCTGCTGCTGACAGCCAGGTAAATCTCAAATCTGCCACTTTCCCTCCCCTGCTTCCCTTATTCAAAGAGAACTTCTAACCCTTTGCTCTGCTCTGCAGTGGGGATGGTTGCCTTGGTGTCTTCAACATCAAACGACGGCGGTTTGAGCTACTCTCAGAGCCTCAATCAGGAGACCTGACATCTGTCACCCTCATGAAAGTACATCTGGGTATGATGGGATGGGATGTACCCCTAAAGAGTTTGGTCTAAGTTGGCTCTACAGACATGTTTTTTCCTGTTCCCTGCAGTGTGGTAAGAAGGTAGCCTGTGGCTCTAGTGAAGGTACCATCTACCTCTTCAACTGGAATGGTTTTGGGGCCACAAGTGACCGCTTTGCTTTGAAAGCTGAGTCCATTGACTGCATGATTCCAGTGACAGAGAGTCTACTGTGCACTGGCTCTACTGATGGAATCATTAGGTGAGTGAAGCCCAGACAGCCTTTGGGTCACCAGAGGGACAAATCCAACCAGTCAGTAACCAACCATTTCTCCTGTGCAGGGCTGTGAACATCTTGCCTAACCGAGTGGTGGGCACTGTGGGACAACATGCTGGGGAGCCTGTGGAGGAGCTAGCCCTCTCTCACTGTGGCCGCTTCCTGGCCAGTAGTGGCCACGACCAGCGCCTCAAGTTTTGGGACATGGCCCAGCTGCGAGAGGTGGTAGTAGATGACTACCGTCGACGCAAGAAAAAGGGAGGGCCTCTGCGTGCCCTGAGCAGTAAGGCCTGGAGCACTGATGACTTCTTCGAAGGACTAAGAGAAGAGGAAGAGGGTTCCAAGGCTCCAGAGGAAGAGGAGAGTGAGGATGACAGTGACTGAGGACATGAGTAGAAAACCTCAGGACAGCTCTTCACTGGGCAAGTCTTGCTTCCTGGTGTTGATCCCAAGAAGACTTGAATTACTTTTTTTGGTGCTGGGAATTGATGCTTTGAGCATGCTCAACCTGCACCCAAGATAATGTTGTGCCATTTAAGAAGTTAAAACGTTTGGGATACTAGGGCTGAGAAGATGGCTCAGTGGTAGAGCGCTTGCCTTGCATGCCTGAGGCCCTGGGTTCGATTCCTCAGCACCACATAAGCAAAAAGAAAAAAGCCGAAAGTGGCGCTGTGGCTCAAAATGGTAGAGTGCTAGCCTTGAGCTGAAGAGCTGAGGGACAGTGCCGAGGCCCAGAGTTCAGGCCCCATGACCGGACCCAAAAAAAAAAAAAAAAAAAAAAAAAGGAAAACGTTTGGGATACTGAAGTGGGGAAGCAATTGTTCTGTAACAGATGCACACTCCACCCGTATAAAACCCTCAACTCTGAGAAGACAGCACAGAAACATGTTTACTAACCAGGGGTTTAATATAAATACAGATAACAACATAGAAAAACTCAAGCCATATTAACTAAAACCATAATGACAAGCAGTAGAGACCAAGGACTTGGCTAGTTCCTCACATAAAAACAGAAAGATTCATTATAAGCATGTCACATAGGAAATGGCCAAGGAAGCGCACAGGGTAAAGACAAACCTTGCAACTTAAGCTAAACCTGAGCAGCTGCCAGGTATGGGGCTATGTTCCAGTGAGGAAGATGCGATGCAGGGCCCATGTCCCTCCCCATTTTGGGATCAGAAGTGGTTGCCCAGGCCTGCTGGGCTGGGTGTTGACATAGGCTCTGCCTACCCATTTAGGCTGCCTGTGGAGGGGAGAGAGGGATGTTACTGCTTCAATATAGTACCCGCCTCAGCCCCACCAGACCACAAGAAGCTGGCCTCAGACTCACTCAGTGCTTCTAGCAGCTGTGTAGAAACAGCATCCTTGGCCACTTCATGACCATCCTGCCCATCTGGAGTCAGCACAACCCAGATGAGGCCACTGAAAGGCACTGGATGCCCAGGGATCACTACTTGGTACCAGAAGCGATGCCAGCCAGCAGGTCCTGTGTCCAAACACTTGGTGAGGAACACTGGGCTGCCTAGCTTCATTCGTTGGCACAGCATCTGCAGGGCAGCTCGAGGCCCTTGGGACCCCAGCTTGTTCTTAGCCAGGGCCAGTTGACTACTATTTGGCTGTAGGCGCTGCAGGGAGGGACTCATGAGCTGGGGACGCAGTAGCTGCTTCAGGTCTGGCTTGAGCCACTCCACAGTCACTGGTTCTCCACAGAGGCGTGACTGCCCTGAATGAAAAGGTGAGAGCAAGACCTTTAGGCCTCTCATTTCCCGGTGGTAAAGCCCAGTTAACTTCTCAGGCTTCACTGGTCTTTATTTGTAAACAGGATGTGACAACTGCCACTTTATAAAGTTTCCTAGGAGGAGCTGCTGGAGAAGACAGGCTTTACCTATCTGATAACCATCACAACAGCTAACCTTGCCAGCCAGGACTACCTTTGTGTCAGGAAATATGTTAAGTAACCATTGTCAATTCTCTCAGCAGTCTGAAAAAACAAGTTCTGTAGTAAACAAAGGCAGGCTCAGCTGAATTCCCTAGGGCAAGTCTTTTTCATTGGAATGTTTAGGATTAAGAGATAATGCCTGCCTTAGAAGTGTTAAACTTGGGTATACTATAGCTCTATTGGAAATAAAAGTGAGCTCACACTTGCCTGAGGTTTTTCTTGGGGGGACTTTTAACTGCTTTACACTGACCTGACGGTACCCAGTACGTTTCAAACCAGACTCCCTCCTCCCCCCCTCCCCCCCGCCACACCCCACCTTTCCCCTACCTTCCACTAAGGCCTTTTTGGCCATGGCGGCTGCGCGATGGGAACTGAACTTGAGCAGCGCAATTTGAGTTGCTGTCGACCCTGGACTGGGCAGCAGCAGTGCTTCCTGGAGGCCGGGGCCCAGAGGCTGCAGTGCCAGCAGCAGCGCGCGGCGGGTCACACTCGACGGCAGCCCATCCACGCTCAGCTCGCACTTCTCCGTGCTGCGGCACACCAGCAGCGGGCAGGAGGGCCGCAGGAGGTGGTTGTGCAGCGTGGCGATGGCGGCCTGGGCACCGCGCCGCGAGCTGTAGCGCGCGTAGGCGAAGCCGCGATTGAGGCCGCTGAAGGTCATCATGAGACGGAACTCGTAGAGACGGCCCACGCGCTGGAACAGCGGGATCAGCTGGTGCTCATACACATCCTGGGGCAGCCTTCCGATAAATACCTCGGACCCTGCGGGCGGCGGGCTGCCCACCCAGCCTGGGGAAAGAGGGTGCGGAAGGACACGGTCACTCACGAGATGGTTTCATGACCTGAGCTCAAGGACTCAGAGACGGTCGGTGTCCGTCTAGGAAATGGGAATGCCCGTTCTGCGCCCGAGCTATTGGTGTAATTGGCCCTGCCGCACAGTAGATGCACCAAGACGGGCTCCCCTCCTCCAAACGGGGCCAAAGGCTCGGCCCCTCCCGACCAAAGGGTGCCGGCTCCGCCGTCGAGCGACAGGTGTTAGGGGCAGAGGCTACTGTACCTGGAGGTGGCCCGCCATACTTCCTCTGCCCGTTCACCTGCACCAGGCGGATGCCCGTCTCCCTGACCCACGCCTCCAGGGCCGCCTTGTTTTCTGGATTCACCCTCTCACACCATTGCTATAAGGGAAAAAAGCAGGATGGAGTGGGGGGAGGGCTCGCGGAGCTGCCCCCCCCCCACCTTGCCTGTGGTGCTGGGGCCGCTGTATCTACCACCCCGGCTCAGGCTGGGCTTGAAAACCCCCAGCCCCCCCAAGTCGCAGCTACGTACCTCACACTCGCGTTTGGACTGCATGGCGGTACTGCAGGGCTAACCCCGTACCTTATTTATGACTTCCTTCCCCCAGATCGCCTCTGGAAGTTTCCCTACCCTCCACCCCCACAAGCTCTCATTGGCTCTGTGCGCGACCCCGCCTCCCGAGGGTGGAGGTATCCACTGCACGTGCGCGGTGGGCTCTCAGACCCTCGGGTGGAAAGATAAAACCCCTTGCTGGCCAGTCAGTCAGGGAAAAGTCCTATTCCTGAAGAGTGGTTCAGACAGGGTGCGCGCTCCCGGCGAGATATTCCCGATGCGCCATTCACCCTAGAAAAGACGGGTGGGCCGTTCTGTGTCTTTTCTCTTTTCCACCGCTTATGTGGTCTAAATGAGTGCCCCAGGTTCTAGTGAGGAAAAGAGAGCTAGGCATCAGTGAGTGACACAGACAAGAACCAATGGTTGAGTGTTTTTATTGGACCTTTGGTGATAGGTTGTGGGTAGTCATCTGCTCCAACTGGTGTGGGGTCCTCTTGCATTTGAGGCCACCTCAGGTCCATTCCAGAAGTTTAGGAGGCAGTGACTGGGTCTTCTATAGAAAGTAGTAATATAGTTGTAAACGTATAGGCATAGTCCTGGCCATTTTTTTTTTTTTTGCCAGTGATTACCAATAAAATAATCATAACAGAAACAAATTAGATTTTGTTCTGAAAACTCTTCGAATGTTCTGCTGAAACCTGAAGTGTGCCAAGCTTTGAAGTACATATGTAGTTCTGTTTTGGTTTTAAATATTGCCAAGTCCAGCTTCCTCTGATAGATCACTTAATTCAGCAGATGCAAGGGGGCTTGTTTGTTCTCCTTCTGATCTCTTCCACAAGGTCTTCTCTTCTGACATCCACCTGGTCAGGATGGGAGAAGAAGATATGAGCATGAGCATCTTCCACTCCACTGCTCCCTGAATGATTATATTTTTTTAGGTATCATGTTTGGCTCAGATGGTAACAGGAACCCAATCAGATACTCCAGAATAGGCAGTGCCTCTTGGAGAAGCCAGAAAGACAGATATCTTTTTTTTTTTTTTTTTTGGGTGCAATCATGGGGCCTGAACTCTGGGCCTGGGTGCTGTCCCTCAGCTCTTCAGCTCAAGGCTAGCGCTCTACCACTTGAGCCACAGCACCACTTCTGGCCGTTTTTCTTTTTGCTTATGTGGTGCTGAGGAATCGAACCCAGGGTCTCACGCATGCAAGGCAAGTGCTCTACCACTGAGCCACCTTCCCAGCCCTGACAGATATCTCTTTTTTTTTTTGGTCGGTCGTGGGGCCTGAACTCTGGGTCTGGGCGCTGTCCCTCAGCTCTTCAGCTCAAGGCTAGCACTCTACCACTTGAGCTACAGCGCCACTTCCGGCTTTTTTTTTCTGCTTATGTGGTGCTGAGGAATCGAACCCAGGGCCTCAGGCATGCAAGGCAAGCGCTCTACCACTGAGCCACCTTCCCAGCCCTGACATATCTCTTGAGATTAAAGATTTTTTTTTTTTTTTTTTGCTGGTCCTGGGGCTTGAACTCAGGTAGGGCCTGGGCTCTGTCCCCAAGCCTCTCTGTACTCCAGGCTAGTGCTCTACCACTTGAACCACAGCACCACTTCTGGCCTTTTCTGTTTATGTGGTACTGAGGAATTGAACGTAGGGCTTCATGCATGCTAGGCAAGCACTCTATTACTAAAGCCACATTCCCAGACCCACTATTAAAGTCCCCTCCCGACCCCCCCACCATCCTGGGGCTTGAACTCAGGGCCTGGGTGTTTCAGCTCAAGGGGAGCGCTCTACCACTTGAGCCACACCACCACTTCCAGTTTTCTAGTGGTTTATTGGAGATAAGAGTCTCATAGATTTTCCTGCTTGGGCTGGCTTTGAACTGAGATCCTCAGATTTCAGCTAGGATTACAGGCATGAGTCATTAGTGCCTGGCCAAGATTAAAGATTTTAACTACCACAATTAACAGGTTAAGCCTTAGGTTCTTTTTTTTTTTTTTTTTTTGAGGGTCTGGTTGTGGGGCCTGAACTCTGGGCCTGGGTGCTGTCCCTCAGCTCTTCAGCTCAAGGCTAGCACTCTGCCACTTGAGCCACAGCGCCACTTCCGGCTTTTTTCTTTTTGCTTATGTGGTACTGAGGACTCGAACCCAGGGCCTCATTCATGCATGGCAAGCGCTCTACCACTGAGCCACCTTCCCAGCCCCCTTAGGTTCTTTTTTCTGGTTGTGGGGCTTGAACTCAGGGCCTGGGAGCTGTTCCAGAGCTTTTTTGTGCAAGACTAGAATTCTACCACTTTGAGCTACAGCACCACTTCCTGTTTTCTACTAGTTAATTAGAGATAAGCCTCCTGAGTGGCTAGTATTATAAGTGTGAGCTACCAGTGCCTGGCAAGCCTTAGGTTCTTTAAAAGTTGGTTCTATATGAATGCTAGGCTTTTGCTCAGGTCTCAAATGGGCATAGACTTCTTGCTTGAATCCTTACCTCTTCTCTGCTAGCCACCGAACGGAGCTTGATGACCCCATCCTTGAGCTCCTGCTCACCGATGATGGCCACTAGTGGGATACCTGTTTCCTCACAGTACTGCAACTGGTTCAGTAACTTTGGGTTCTTCTTGTAGAGCAGTTCAGCCTGCAAGGGACCAGGGCAGAACATGAGAGTTGTCCTCTGCTATCCTCAGGGACAACTTCCTGGGGGCCCAAGCTGGCATCTTGCTCTTACATCCAGTCCAAGAAGTAATGTCACTTCTAAGGGTGAATTTTATTTCATTTATTTTATTTAGATACCATGGGTGAATTTTATTTAGTTTGTGCCTATCACTCTCAAGTTTGCTGCCACTCAAGGGCTTGCCTCCTGTACCTTGATTCCAGCATCCCACAGCTCTGAGATAAGTTTCAGTCTCTCCTCCAGCAGCTTCTTTTGCGCAGATGCAACAAGCACCTGTGTCTCTGTGGTTCGTACTTTCTCTTCTAAAGCCTGGGGAAGGGGCAGATAAGTCAGAGACACTTCCAAGGAGCATATAGGGCAGACTCTAGTAAGGATTCTGAGACTAGGCTCAACTCAGTGTGTGCAACCAGGGAAGTGCAACAGTGTTCTCTTTTAGCAACTGGGGTTAAGGTAGCTCTTAGAAAACATGAAATTAACTGACTTGTATGTGACTGTGAGAAGGGCAAAGGTAACTTCCAGCTCATCTCAAACAATCTGATTAAGAATCTGTAAGAGCCGGGCGCTGGTGGCTCACACCTCGAATCCTAGCTACTAAGGAGGCTGAGATCTGAGGATCGTGGTTCAAAGGCAGCCCGGGAAGGAAAGTGGTGAGACTCTTATCTCCAATAAAAACCACTAGAAAACCAGAAGTGGCACTGTGGCTCAAGTGGTAGAGTGCTTGCCTTGAGCTGAAGAGCACAGGGACAGCGCCCAGGCCCAGAGTTCAAGCCCCGCAACCAACCAAAAAAAAAAAAAGAAAAAAGAAAGAAATGAAAAGCAGCATCAATAAGAAAGGCCTGAGCCCTCTGGAGCTTCCTTGGTATTATTCTAGGTCTACAAAGTTGAAATAAACACTTGAGTAATCCCATGACCTGGGTTTCCTACTGACAGAGAGCATTACAGAGTGGTAAGGAGGAAGATTTAAGGATATTTACTTTCTGGTTTCACAGTGTGACTCTGCCATTACAAGTTCCATGTCTTTGAGCAAAGTTTTTTTCAATTTTTATTACTTAAGTACTTTAGCATCCTCACCTAAAAACATGTAAATTTCAGAACCTTATGAGCTAATGCATGAAAAGCAGAAAAAACAGTGCCTACCACATGGCAGTAGTATGGTAAGTATTTTGTCATGAGGAAGATCTGGGTCTTGGATATGCCAGCATAGATTCCTGATAGCTCCAAGATGTCACTCCTAGGACCTACCTCCAGTCTTTGTTCCACAATGGAGAAGATGCGCTCCACTCCAATACTGACTCCCACACATGGTACCTTGCGCCCTTTAGGGTCAAACATGCCCACTAGTCCATCATAGCGCCCTCCAGCAGCCACACTGCCCACACCCAGGGGCTCGTCCCCTGCCTGGGCTGGGGTCTGTAGCAGCACAGCCTCATAGATCACCCCCGTATAATAGTCTAGCCCTCGAGCAAGGCTCAGGTCAAAGGAGATCTGTGGAGACAAGGACATGATCACTACTAGATTAGGATCTTAGATCCAAAGTCCCTAAGGTCAGACAAGGCTTCCATTTTGACTCACCTTGTCATCAATGCCAAACAGAGTCAGGTACTCAAACAGCAGCTTCAGGTCTCCCAGGCCCTCTAAGGCCTGCTTGTTTTGAGATAGTTTAGGATCTTGGAGCAGCTCCTCCACCAGGGACACCCCACCTAGGGAGACAGATTGGCTTATCTTTTTGTCTAAACTGCAAGTACACGTGCACATGAATACACACATACACAGATTCAATTTTAGAGGGAGGGCAGTGCATGGCTACTGAGGAGGCGGGGTTCTGTTCCTTACCATGCTGTTGAACATAGTCTCCGATGCGGTCAGCCACCTCAGGTGCAAGTCCCTTCTCTCCCACCATCTCATTCTTCACTTCCTCCCAGGATACCTAGGCAGACACTAGTCAGGGGCTTTTGAGCAGCTTCCCTACCACAGAGCAGAGGTGGTCCCTTCTTGGGGAACAGTCTTAGAAGCAGAAGCTGCCTTTCAACCTACGTGCTGGAGCTAATCCTCCTTTAGTGGGCATAGAGGTAAACATTAATGCTCGTTTTCCATTGCTCAAGGAGGCGTGGGTTCTGGGAAAAAGAATCAGGCATTTGGGTCATTACCTTGTCCAGCTTGTCCACCGAGGAACAGATGGTACGGAACTTGCTATCTGGAACACCACAGACGGCAAACATCCCATCTAGTATGCGCCGGTCATTTACCTGTAGGGACCCAAGGCATATCTCTTTAATAGCCTCAACAGTCTTGGTTCCTTGGGCTATTGGTTCCTTATAATAGGACTTTCTCCTACGAGAAGCCAGGTCCTG